AAGCAGGCTGGTTCAGGTGCCACTGTTCATGTTACTGGCATGCACTGCGAGGAAGTAGGCTGGTTCAAGTGTCAATGTTCATGTTACTGGCATGCACTGCGAGGAAGTAGGCTGGTTCAAGTGTCAATGTTCAAGTTACCGGCATGCACTGTGAGGAAGTAGGCTGGTTCAGGTGTCAATGTTCATGTTACCACTACCCACTGTGAGGAAGTAGGCTGGTTCAAGTGTCAATGTTCAAGTTACCGGCATGCACTGCGAGGAAGTAGACTGGTTCAAGTGCCACTGTTCATGTTACTGGTACCCACTGTGAGGAAGTAGGCTGGTTCAAGTGTCAATGTTCATGTTACTGGCATGCACTGCGAGGAAGTTGGCTGGTTCAGGGTGCCCTTGTTCATGTTACCGGCATGCACTGCGAGGAAGTAGGCTGGTTCAGGGTGCCCTTGTTCATGTTACAGGCATGCACTGCGAGGAAGTAGGCTGGTTCAAGTGTCAATGTTCATGTTACTGGCATGCACTGCGAGGAAGTAGGCTGGTTCAAGTGCCACTGTTCATGTTACTGGTACCCACTGTGAGGAAGTAGGCTGGTTCAGGGTGCCCTTGTTCATGTTACTGGCATCCACTGCGAGGAAGTAGGCTGGTTCAAGTGTCAATGTTCAAGTTACCGGCATGCACTGCGAGGAAGTAGACTGGTTCAAGTGCCACTGTTCATGTTACTGGTACCCACTGTGAGGAAGTAGGCTGGTTCAAGTGTCAATGTTCATGTTACTGGCATGCACTGCGAGGAAGTTGGCTGGTTCAGGGTGCCCTTGTTCATGTTACCGGCATGCACTGCGAGGAAGTAGGCTGGTTCAGGGTGCCCTTGTTCATGTTACAGGCATGCACTGCGAGGAAGTAGGCTGGTTCAAGTGTCAATGTTCATGTTACTGGCATGCACTGCGAGGAAGTAGGCTGGTTCAAGTGCCACTGTTCATGTTACCACTACCCACTGTGAGGAAGTAGGCTGGTTCAGGTGCCACTGTTCATGTTACTGGTACCCACTGTGAGGAAGTAGGCTGGTTCAGGGTGCCCTTGTTTATGTTACAGGCATGCACTGCGAGGAAGTAGGCTGGTTCAAGTGTCAATGTTCATGTTACTGGCATGCACTGCAAGGAAGTAGGCTGGTTCAAGTGCCACTGTTCATGTTACCACTACCCACTGTGAGGATTAGGCTGGTTCAGGTGCCACTGTTCATGTTACTGGTACCCACTGTGAGGAAGTAGGCTGGTTCAGGGTGCCCATGTTCATGTTACAGGCATGCACTGCGAGGAAGTAGGCTGGTTCAGGTGCCACTGTTCATGTTACCACTACCCACTGTGAGGAAGTAGGCTGGTTCAGGGTGCCCATGTTCATGTTACTGGCATGAACTGCGAGGAAGTAGGCTGGTTCAAGTGTCAATGTTCATGTTACTGGCATGCACTGCGAGGAAGTAGGCTGGTTCAAGTGTCAATGTTCATGTTACCGGCATGCACTGCGAGGAAGTAGGCTGGTTCAGGTGTCAATGTTCATGTTACCAATACCCACTGTGAGGAAGTAGGCTGGTTCAAGTGTCAATGTTCATGTTACCACTACCCATTGTGAGGAAGTAGGCTGGTTCAAGTGTCAATGTTTCAAGTTACCGGCATGCACTCCGAGGAAGTAGACTGGTTCAAGTGCCACTGTTCATGTTACCACTACCCACTGTGAGGAAGTAGGCTGGTTCAGGTGCCACTGTTCATGTTACTGGCATGCACTGCGAGGAAGTAGGCTGGTTCAAGTGTCAATGTTCATGTTACTGGCATGCACTGCGAGGAAGTAGGCTGGTTCAAGTGTCAATGTTCAAGTTACCGGCATGCACTGTGAGGAAGTAGGCTGGTTCAGGTGTCAATGTTCATGTTACCACTACCCACTGTGAGGAAGTAGGCTGGTTCAAGTGTCAATGTTCAAGTTACCGGCATGCACTGCGAGGAAGTAGACTGGTTCAAGTGCCACTGTTCATGTTACTGGTACCCACTGTGAGGAAGTAGGCTGGTTCAGGGTGCCCTTGTTTATGTTACAGGCATGCACTGCGAGGAAGTAGGCTGGTTCAAGTGTCAATGTTCATGTTACTGGCATGCACTGCGAGGAAGTAGGCTGGTTCAGGTGCCACTGTTCATGTTACTGGTACCCACTGTGAGGAAGTAGGCTGGTTCAGGGTGCCCTTGTTCATGTTACTGGCATGCACTGCGAGGAAGTAGGCTGGTTCAAGTGTCAATGTTCATGTTACTGGCATGCACTGCGAGGAAGTAGGCTGGTTCAGGGTGCCCTTGTTCATGTTACCGGCATGCACTGCGAGGAAGTAGGCTGGTTCAGGGTGCCCTTGTTCATGTTACAGGCATGCACTGCGAGGAAGAAGGCTGGTTCAAGTGTCAATGTTCATGTTACTGGCATGCACTGCGAGGAAGTAGGCTGGTTCAAGTGCCACTGTTCATGTTACCACTTCCCACTGTGAGGAAGTAGGCTGGTTCAAGTGCCACTGTTCATGTTACTGGTACCCACTGTGAGGAAGTAGGCTGGTTCAGGTGCCACTGTTCATGTTACTGGTACCCACTGTGAGGAAGTAGGCTGGTTCAGGGTGCCCCTGTTCATGTTACTGGTACCCACTGTGAGGAAGTAGGCTGGTTCAGGGTGCCCTTGTTCATGTTACTGGTACCCACTGTGAGGAAGTAGGCTGGTTCAGGGTGCCCTTGTTCATGTTACCACTACCCACTGTGAGGAAGTAGGCTGGTTCAGGGTGCCCTTGTTCATGTTACTGGCATGCACTGCGAGGAAGTAGGCTGGTTCAGGGTGCCCTTGTTCATGTTACCGGCTTGCACTGTGAGGAAGTAGGCTGGTTCAGGTGCCACTGTTCATGTGACTGGTACCCACTGTGAGGAAGTAGGCTGGTTCAGGGTGCCCTTGTTCATGTTACCGGCATGCACTGTGAGGAAGTAGGCTGGTTCAAGTGTCAATGTTCATGTTACTGGCATGCACTGCAAGGAAGTAGGCTGGTTCAAGTGTCAATGTTCATGTTACTGGCATTCACTGCGAGGAAGTAGGCTGGTTCAAGTGCCACTGTTCATGTTACCACTACCCACTGTGAGGAAGTAGGCTGGTTCAGGGTGCCCCTGTTCATGTTACTGGTACCCACTGTGAGGAAGTAGGCTGGTTCAGGTGCCACTGTTCATGTTACAGGCATGCACTGTGAGGAAGTAGGCTGGTTCAGGTGCCACTGTTCATGTTACCACTACCCACTGTGAGGAAGTAGGCTGGTTCAGGGTGCCCCTGTTCATGTTACCACTACCCACTGCGAGGAAGTAGGCTGGTTCAGGTGCCACTGTTCATGTTACCGTCATGCACTGCGAGGAAGTAGGCTGGTTCAAGTGTCAATGTTCATGTTACTGGCATTCACTGCGAGGAAGTAGGCTGGTTCAAGTGCCACTGTTCATGTTACCACTACCCACTGTGAGGAAGTAGGCTGGTTCAGGGTGCCCCTGTTCATGTTACTGGTACCCACTGTGAGGAAGTAGGCTGGTTCAGGTGCCACTGTTCATGTTACCGGCATGCACTGTGAGGAAGTAGGCTGGTTCAGGTGCCACTGCTCATGTTACCACTACCCACTGTGAGGAAGTAGGCTGGTTCAGGGTGCCCCTGTTCATGTTACCACTACCCACTGCGAGGAAGTAGGCTGGTTCAGGTGCCACTGTTCATGTTACCGTCATGCACTGCGAGGAAGTAGGCTGTGAGAAAGTAGGCTGGTTCAAGTGCCACTGTTCATGTTACCACTACCCACTGCGAGGAAGTAGGCTGGTTTAGGTGTCAATGTTCATGTTACCGTCATGCACTGTGAGGAAGTAGGCTGGTTCAGGTGCCACTGTTCATGTTACTGGTACCCACTGTGAGGAAGTAGGCTGGTTCAGGTGCCACTGTTCATGTTACTGGTATCCACTGTGAGGAAGTAGGCTGGTTCAGGGTGCCCTTGTTCATGTTACCGGCATGCACTGTGAGGAAGTAGGCTGGTTCAGGTGCCATTGTTCATGTTACTGGTATCCACTGCGAGGAAGTAGGCTGGTTCAAGTGCCACTGTTCATGTTACCGGCATGCACTGCGAGGAAGTAGGCTGGTTCAAGTGCCACTGTTCATGTTACCAATACCCACTGCGAGGAAGTAGGCTGGTTCAGGTGCCACTGTTCATGTTACCAATACCCACTGCGAGGAAGTAGGCTGGTTCAGGTGCCACTTGTAAAATGTGTTTTCACAACAGTTCACCATATACCTTGTCCAAGTTCCTTTGTCACCCGGTATACATCTCAATTAGGTAATTATGGTAATGGTTCTCAGACAACCCTGCGTAGATGTTTTTGTAGAATATGTAAATGGTTTCCAAGTTATGCTCTTGCTAAGGAAACATTCGTCAAACTCCCAAATGATCAAAAGACACCAGTTAACCACTAGATCTATTTATATGCCAAGCTTGGCAGAAATATTTACGGTTTTCAAGATCCGCTCCCGAAACGAGGACTACCACCATTTTCAGTCCAAGTCAAAGTCGTTGCCAGGGAAACTCTAAAATAGGTTTTTCAAAAATCCCAAACCATCAAAGGCACCAGTTTACCACTAGAACACTGACGAGTTTGGTGAAGAAATATTGTACGGTTTTCTAAAATAGGTTTTTCAAAAATCCCAAACCATCAAAGGCACCAGTTTACCACTTGACCACTGACGAGTTTGGTGAAGAAATATTGTACGGTTTTCAAGATCTGCTCCGGAAACGAGGACTACAGCCATTTTTAGTCTAAGTCAAAGTCGTTGCCAGGGAAACTTGAAAAATAATCTTTTAAAAAATCCCAAACTATCAAAAGGGACCAGTTCACCACTAGACCTATCTATGTGCCAAGTTTGGTTAAGATATCTCTAATGGTTTTTGTGTTCTGCTCCGGAAACGAAACGTGACAGACAGATGGAAGGATGGAAGGACAACAGACTTCGTGAAGTATATAAATAAGGGGAATACTTTGATTCCCTATATTTTTTAACCCAACAGTATGCAAGTATCCCACGGTAGGACAGAGGGTTGGATCTACTGCATATCCCCATTTGCAATTGAGTGGGCAGGCCAGAACACGGACTCAACAAGACTGCCACTTTGTCTTCAACCCAGGGTGTGTCAATTTCACATGTCCCGTAATACATCACCACTATGGCTGATTACAGGTAACGTTGGGTCTGAAATTACGTTGCAACAAGAGTTTCTCGAACTGTAGTTCCCCTCACAATATGTAGTAATGCAATTACTCAAAAGAAAGAAAGAACAAACAGAACTTGTCTTTGGTCACAATATGTTTTTGGTACCACTTGGGGGGTTGGGCAAAGTGTCTTATATACCAAACATTACACATTAATGTGTTAAACATGATTTTATGTGATAGCAATATTAATTTCACAGCTTTTAACATTGATAGCCACTTTCAGTTAGAGCCCTGCTGCTGTGTGATAGGGTTGGCCTCATAGCTAGTTGAAACAACTTCTGCAAGCAGGATCTTCACACAGCTCTTTCTCTCTGTCAAGAAAAAGCAGTTAATGCATTAAGGAGTAATGCAGGATAAGTAAACACTCGACAGGTTTTCTGCAGGCCAATTCACTGAACGAAGGTCGTAATAAGCGACAATGGCAGGAGGGACAAATGAATGTCAGAGTCGACGGACGGTGAGGGATCTATCATCTGTCTTGAGGCGTGAGGACATGGAATGACCCAATGTCTTAGCATTGCCTGCATCAAGGGAAGACGCCAAAGTTGGAAACAAAGTCCCATGCTATTTAAAGCTGGACGACGTGATGGCAGGGTTTGGGCAGTGAATCCTTAATGGTGACCTCATCCAAAGCCTGCTGCAACAGCACAAGAATCCCAGAGACCAAATGATGAACAGGGATTGTGTAAGATGGCATTGTAATCTTGGGATTGAAGAAGCATTTCGCAGAAGGCAGTGGGACAGGATCCTTAAGTTTAAGGACATTCATGATCCACAGGATCCGATCCTTAGAGGTGGAGAGTGGCTGCTCCTCAACCTTAGAGGTAGCAACACTAGGCGCTGAAGCGCAAGAGGCGGCCCTCGGTGAAGATCACACACGCCTGGGAACCCTGTCAGGAGATGATGAACATGTTCTTGAATGACGAGGAGGAGAACAAACAGCCCGAGATGCCTGATAAGGCGTTGCAGGTGACGACTGAAGTAGGAAGGGTACCCTAAAGAGACCAGAGTGGTGAGTTTAGAACCGAATTGACTTCCATGTCAATATGACCATCCTGAGGAGAGGTCACCAGTGGTTGTCTGACCCAAGACAAGGACAACAATGGCCAAGGGTTACGAGAGGGGTTTGAAGTCTCGAGCTGTAGTTGTTGGTGAGCCTTTTTTTGAGTTTAGCCAGGTAAGAAAAGGTGGGAGGATAAGTGGGCACAATCAGAGCATCGCTGGTCCAAGAAGCAGTTGACCCAGCAGTCAGGGCAGGGACCCCTACGTGGGGATCATGAGCCGAATTCTTCCCATGGCAGTCAACGCACTTTTGAAGAGGGCGTAGAAGGTCATCGTCAACACCAACACTGTCTCCGAAATGACCACATTGTCCATAATATCTCAAGTTTTAAACAGAAAAAGAGAATAAGAAAGGACAATATAACAAACATAAAACGAAACGCAACCGTTCACTTAAAACGAGGGAGGTAAAAACACATGAAATGGAAACCAAAACGGAGCTTTCGTGTGGCGAAAGGTTTTTAACAATGGCAGGGAAAGAACATGTATGAGTAAGGTAAGCAGCCGTTATATGATATATTTACTGAAAAGAAATGTCTAGGGACCCGCGGATTAGGGCTGGGATAGGTAACTCGGGTATCCGGGTTGGGTGGGTACTGAGTAGGACCCGAGTACCCACAGGACTACCGGGACCCATGGTTAGTCATGTGATATATTGTTTAATGACTAAACTTATCTAGAAATCTATAATTACACTACAAGTCATTAATGTTTGTTTTTCTTTCTGAATATGCACCCATTCCTTCAGATTTTTCATATGGTTGAATAAAGATGTAACTTAAGTCAACTTCAGTGTATGCATGACCAGATTGTGTAATACATGAATCTAAATACGTTTGGCCAGGGCTATGCTAAAAAAGTTCCCAATCAGCCATTTAGAGACATCTCCTGAGACCTAGAGTGGGTCTCCGGGTAGGGTCGGGTAATGGGGGGCGGGTACCCGGGTAGTAAATTTGGACTCGCCCCAGCCGTACCGCAGAAACATGTGCATAGGAAGATATTCAATTCCAACCGAAATGACAAACAAATCCAATTGTAAATGTGGAATGGAAGCAAACACGTCCGTTCACTACAGGCGATGTAGGAAAAAGTGGTGAGTACAGGAGGATGCTGGGAGCGAGGTGGTCGGAGGGTGTGTTCTGGTGATTATTGTCTTCACAATGTTCCACACTGTTATATAATCGAAGCAAGAAGGAATATTGCAAACTGTTGTGGTGGGATAAGTTAAATAATTTATTCATTTCACAGCAACCACATGCCTACAACGTAACGTGTACAAACTTTAGAAAGTCTGTCTCACAAATTTATTGACACCGAAATATGTTTCTAATTCTTAGTGTTAATTTTTAATTGGTCACATGTAACATTTTCATCGCGAACACAGCAAGAGTATTTAGGATCACAAATCACACACAGAATACAGAATAATATTGACAATATACTTCCAAAATGGCTTACAGTCTTACTAACAGGCTTACAGTCGTTCTCAAATAATTATCAATAAACAAAACAGTTATCAAAAAGGTGTGGCACAAAATGGTTAATTGTAAAGGTAAGTCTTACCTGAATTGTCTCAGTCATTGAGACTGATTAAATATGGATCGTGTTAATGTGTCTAAATCTGTAACTGGGCATTTTACTAAATTACTACTGATCTTCCTCCAAATACATTACAAACCCTAACTAAGAATAACCAACGAATGAGATGCTAATTGTTAAACTGATGACAACTGATACTGGTTGTTTTTGCTGTTGTCTGGCTAGTCTAGGTTGGCCGTACTTGCGACTCACTCAGTCACTGGTCACGACAATATTTTTGCAAATTGTGGGATAAGCAAGACAGCCTATTTAACTCAACTAGCCAAATTAGGGAATGGGCTAATGCTTGAAGATGGTCCTTAGCCTGTGACACTAGGGCAAATATTTCTATCTTTTATCCCCTTACTGCTGAGTACAAATGCTTTTGCCAGTGGTAAAGGGGGAGCCAAGCCAGATTCTCCAGGTGGATCTTTTTCTTCAGTTACTTGCTCCTCTGCAGACTCCTGAGTGTCACAACAAGACGGCTCAACTTACCATCTGGGTGAGGAGTGTCACAACAAGACGGCTCAACTTACCATCTGGGTGAGGAGTGTCACAACAAGACGGCTCAACTTACCATCTGGGTGAGGAGTGTCACAACAAGACGGCTCAACTTACCATCTGGGTGAGGAGTGTCACAACAAGACGGCTCAACTTACCATCTGGGTGAGGAGTGCTGCTCAACTTACCATCTGGGTGAGGAGTGTCACAACAAGACGGCTCAACTTACCATCTGGGTGAGGAGTGTCACAACAAGACGGCTCAACTTACCATCTGGGTGAGGAGTGTCACAACAAGACGGCTCAACTTACCATCTGGGTAAGGAGGGCTGCTCAACTTACCATCTGGGTGAGGAGTGCTGCTCAACTTACCATCTGGGTGAGGAGTGTCACAACAAGACGGCTCAACTTACCATCTGGGTGAGGAGTGTCACAACAAGACGGCTCAACTTACCATCTGGGTGAGGAGTGTCACAACAAGACGGCTCAACTTACCATCTGGGTGAGGAGCGTCACAACAAGACGGCTCAACTTACCATCTGGGTGAGGAGTGTCACAACAAGACCGCTCAACTTTCCATCTGGGTGAGGAGTGTCACAACAAGACGGCTCAACTTTCAATCTGGGTGAGGAGTGTCACAACAAGACGGCTCAACTTTCCATCTGGGTGAGGAGGGCTCACAACAAGACGGCTCAACGTACCATCTGGGTGAGGAGTGTCACAACAAGACGGCTCAACTTACCATCTGGGTGAGGAGGGCTCACAACAAGACGGCTCAACGTACCATCTGGGTGAGGAGTGTCACAACAAGACGGCTCAACTTACCATCTGGGTGAGGAGTGCTGCTCAACTTTCCATCTGGGTGAGGAGTGTCACAACAAGACGGCTCAACTTACCATCTGGGTGAGGAGGGCTCACAACAAGACGGCTCAACTTACCATCTGGGTGAGGAGTGTCACAACAAGACGGCTCAACTTTCCATCTGGGTGAGGAGGGCTCACAACAAGACGGCTCAACGTACCATCTGGGTGAGGAGTGTCACAACAAGACGGCTCAACTTACCATCTGGGTGAGGAGGGCTCACAACAAGACGGCTCAACTTACCATCTGGGTGAGGAGTGTCACAACAAGACGGCTCAACTTACCATCTGGGTGAGGAGTGCTGCTCAACTTTCCATCTGGGTGAGGAGTGTCACAACAAGACGGCTCAACTTACCATCTGGGTGAGGAGGGCTCACAACAAGACGGCTCAACTTACCATCTGGGTGAGGAGTGTCACAACAAGACGGCTCAACTTTCCATCTGGGTGAGGAGGGCTCACAACAAGACGGCTCAACGTACCATCTGGGTGAGGAGTGTCACAACAAGACGGCTCAACTTACCATCTGGGTGAGGAGGGCTCACAACAAGATGGCTCAACGTACCATCTGGGTGAGGAGTGTCACAACAAGACGGCTCAACTTACCATCTGGGTGAGGAGTGCTGCTCAACTTTCCATCTGGGTGAGGAGTGTCACAACAAGACGGCTCAACTTACCATCTGGGTGAGGAGTGTCACAACAAGACGGCTCAACTTACCATCTGGGTGAGGAGTGTCACAACAAGACGGCTCAACTTACCATCTGGGTGAGGAGTGTCACAACAAGACGGCTCAACTTACCATCTGGGTGAGGAGGGCTCACAACAAGACGGCTCAACTTACCATCTGGGTGAGGAGTGTCACAACAAGACGGCTCAACTTACCATCTGGGTGAGGAGGGCTCACAACAAGACGGCTCAACTTACCATCTGGGTGAGGAGTGTCACAACAAGACGGCTCAACTTACCATCTGGGTGAGGAGTGTCACAACAAGACGGCTCAACTTTCCATCTGGGTGAGGAGTGTCACAACAAGACGGCTCAACTTACCATCGGGGTGAGGAGGGCTCACACTGCCTAGTTACAGGATACATGGTATTGTGCTAATGGTGCAGGAGACTTGATGTGAGCTTACTTGTTTTTCTTGCCCTTGGACACCAGGTCTTCAATGTCCACGACAGAGCCCAAAATCTGACGGGCTTCACTAGTTTTCTTCATATCTGAAAGAAAGCCAGGCAGATGAGACATCACACACACTACCATCTGTCTTCATCCCTCAGGCTTTTCCCTTGCTTGCTGTTTTCCATTTTCAACCAAAACTGTTTTATCCTTTACTTGAAGCATTCCCATTTGCATAGGAACATCTGAGAAGTGGGGACAATGACAGTGACAGGTATCACTGAATGGGGGATGCTGTATACTCACCATCCAGCACGTTGTAGTAGTGACATCGCCTTGCCTGCACCTTGGCTCTGCACATATGCACCTACAGAACACAACAAACAGGGGGAAACATGTCAGTAGTAGAAACATCATCAGAATGTGTCGCTAAAGATTATGAGCCCACCTGGGACATGACACTTCACACATTAACTGATCATGAGTAAACATCACATGTATTCTTCATTAACCGAGGTGGACAGGGGACAGGCTATTCTAGACAAACCAAAGAGAAGAAGGACAGAGGTCAGGCTATTGTAGACTAACCAAGGAGAAGAAGGACAGAGGTCAGGCTATTGTAGACCAACCAAAGAGAAGGACACAGGTCAGGCTATTGTAGCCAAACCAAAGAGAAGAAGGATAGAGGTCAGGCTATTTTAGACAAACCAAAGAGAAGAAGGACCAAGGTCAGGCTATTTTAGACAAACCAAAGAGAAGGAGGACAGAGGTCAGGCTATTGTAGACTAACCAAAGAGAAGAAGGACAGAGGTCAGGCTATTGTAGACTAACCAAAGAGAAGAAGGACAGAGGTCAGGCTATTGTAGACTAACCAAAGAGAAGAAGGACAGAGGTCAGGCTATTGTAGACTAACCAAAGAGAAGAAGGACAGAGGTCAGGCTATTGTAGACTAACCAAAGAGAAGAAGGACAGAGGTCAGGCTATTGTAGACTAACCTAGGAGAAGAAGGACAGAGGTCAGGCTATTCTAGACTAACCAAAGAGAAGAAGGACAGAGGTCAGGCTATTCTAGACTAACTAAAGAGAAGAAGGACAGAGGTCAGGCTATTCTAGACTAACCAAAGAGAAGAAGGACAGAGGTCAGGCTATTCTAGACTAACCAAAGAGAAGAAGGACAGAGGTCAGGCTATTCTAGACTAACTAAAGAGAAGAAGGACAGAGGTCAGGCTATTCTAGACTAACCAAAGAGAAGAAGGACAGAGGTCAGGCTATTCTAGACTAACCAAAGAGAAGAAGGACAGAGGTCAGGCTATTCTAGACTAACCAAAGAGAAGAAGGACAGAGGTCAGGCTATTGTAGACGAACCAAAGAGAAGAAGGACAGAGGTCAGGCTTTTCTAGACTAACCAAAGAGAAGAAGGACAGAGGTCAGGCTATTCTAGACTAACCAAAGAGAAGAAGGACAGAGGTCAGGCTATTCTAGACTAACCAAAGAGAAGAAGGACAGAGGTCAGGCTATTCTAGACTAACCAAAGAGAAGAAGGACAGAGGTCAGGCTATTCTAGACAAACCAAAGGGAAGGACAGAGGTCAGGCTGTTGTAGACTAACCTATGAGAAAATGGACAGAGGCCTGGCTATTGTAGTCTAACCAAAGAGAAGAAGGACAGAGGTCAGGCTATTGTAGACAAACCAAAGAGAAGAAGGACAGAGGTCAGGCTATTCTAGACTAACCAAAGAGAAGTAGGACAGAGGTCAGGCTATTGTAGACTAACCAAAGAGAAGAAGGACAGAGGTCAGGCTATTCTAGACTAACCAAAGAGAAGAAGGACAGAGGTCAGGCTATTCTAGACTAACCAAAGAGAAGAAGGACAGAGGTCAGGCTATTCTAGACTAACCAAAGAGAAGAAGGACAGAGGTCAGGCTATTGTAGACGAACCAAAGAGAAGAAGGACATAGGTCAGGCTATTCTAGACTAACGAAAGAGAAGAAGGACAGAGGTCAGGCTATTCTAGACTAACCAAAGAGAAGAAGGACAGAGGTCAGGCTATTCTAGACAAACCAAAGGGAAGGACAGAGGTCAGGCTGTTGTTGACTAACCTATGAGAAAATGGACAGAGGCCTGGCTATTGTAGTCTAACCAAAGAGAAGAAGGACAGAGGTCAGGCTATTGTAGACAAACCAAAGAGAAGAAGGACAGAGGTCAGGCTATTCTAGACTAACCAAAGAGAAGTAGGACAGAGGTCAGGCTATTGTAGACTAACCAAAGAGAAGAAGGACAGAGGTCAGGCTATTCTAGACTAACCAAAGAGAAGAAGGACAGAGGTCAGGCTATTCTAGACTAACCAAAGAGAAGAAGGACAGAGGTCAGGCTATTGTAGACGAACCAAAGAGAAGAAGGACAGAGGTCAGGCTTTTCTAGACTAACCAAAGAGAAGAAGGACAGAGGTCAGGCTATTCTAGACTAACCAAAGAGAAGAAGGACAGAGGTCAGGCTATTCTAGACTAACCAAAGAGAAGAAGGACAGAGGTCAGGCTATTCTAGACTAACCAAAGAGAAGAAGGACAGAGGTCAGGCTATTCTAGACAAACCAAAGGGAAGGACAGAGGTCAGGCTGTTGTTGACTAACCTATGAGAAAATGGACAGAGGCCTGGCTATTGTAGTCTAACCAAAGAGAAGAAGGACAGAGGTCAGGCTATTGTAGACAAACCAAAGAGAAGAAGGACAGAGGTCAGGCTATTCTAGACTAACCAAAGAGAAGTAGGACAGAGGTCAGGCTATTGTAGACTAACCAAAGAGAAGAAGGACAGAGGTCAGGCTATTCTAGACTAACCAAAGAGAAGAAGGACAGAGGTCAGGCTATTCTAGACTAACCAAAGAGAAGAAGGACAGAGGTCAGGCTATTCTAGACTAACCAAAGAGAAGAAGGACAGAGGTCAGGCTATTGTAGACGAACCAAAGAGAAGAAGGACATAGGTCAGGCTATTCTAGACTAACGAAAGAGAAGAAGGACAGAGGTCAGGCTATTCTAGACTAACCAAAGAGAAGAAGGACAGAGGTCAGGCTATTCTAGACAAACCAAAGGGAAGGACAGAGGTCAGGCTGTTGTTGACTAACCTATGAGAAAATGGACAGAGGCCTGGCTATTGTAGTCTAACCAAAGAGAAGAAGGACAGAGGTCAGGCTATTGTAGACAAACCAAAGAGAAGAAGGACAGAGGTCAGGCTATTCTAGACTAACCAAAGAGAAGTAGGACAGAGGTCAGGCTATTGTAGACTAACCAAAGAGAAGAAGGACAGAGGTCAGGCTATTCTAGACTAACCAAAGAGAAGAAGGACAGAGGTCAGGCTATTCTAGACTAACCAAAGAGAAGAAGGACAGAGGTCAGGCTATTCTAGACTAACCAAAGAGAAGAAGGACAGAGGTCAGGCTATTGTAGACGAACCAAAGAGAAGAAGGACATAGGTCAGGCTATTCTAGACTAACGAAAGAGAAGAAGGACAGAGGTCAGGCTATTCTAGACTAACCAAAGAGAAGAAGGACAGAGGTCAGGCTATTCTAGACAAACCAAAGGGAAGGACAGAGGTCAGGCTGTTGTTGACTAACCTATGAGAAAATGGACAGAGGCCTGGCTATTGTAGTCTAACCAAAGAGAAGAAGGACAGAGGTCAGGCTATTGTAGACAAACCAAAGAGAAGAAGGACAGAGGTCAGGCTATTCTAGACTAACCAAAGAGAAGTAGGACAGAGGTCAGGCTATTGTAGACTAACCAAAGAGAAGAAGGACAGAGGTCAGGCTATTCTAGACTAACCAAAGAGAAGAAGGACAGAGGTCAGGCTATTCTAGACTAACCAAAGAGAAGAAGGACAGAGGTCAGGCTATTCTAGACTAACCAAAGAGAAGAAGGACAGAGGTCAGGCTATTGTAGACGAACCAAAGAGAAGAAGGACATAGGTCAGGCTATTCTAGACTAACGAAAGAGAAGAAGGACGGAGGTCAGGCTATTCTAGACTAACCAAAGAGAAGAAGGACAGAGGTCAGGCTATTCTAGACAAACCAAAGGGAAGGACAGAGGTCAGGCTGTTGTTGACTAACCTATGAGAAAATGGACAGAGGCCTGGCTATTGTAGTCTAACCAAAGAGAAGAAGGACAGAGGTCAGGCTATTGTAGACAAACCAAAGAGAAGAAGGACAGAGGTCAGGCTATTCTAGACTAACCAAAGAGAAGTAGGACAGAGGTCAGGCTATTCTAGACTAACCAAAGGGAAGGACAGAGGTCAGGCTGTTGTTGACTAACCTATGAGAAAATGGACAGAGGCCTGGCTATTGTAGTCTAACCAAAGAGAAGAAGGACAGAGGTCAGGCTATTGTAGACAAACCAAAGAGAAGAAGGACAGAGGTCAGGCTATTCTAGACTAACCAAAGAGAAGTAGGACAGAGGTCAGGCTATTCTAGACTAACCAAAGAGAAGAAGGACAGAGGTCAGGCTATTGTAGACTAACCAAAGAGAAGAAGGACAGAGGTCAGGCTATTCTAGACTAACCAAAGAGAAGAAGGACAGAGGTCAGGCTATTCTAGACTAACCAAAGAGAAGAAGGACAGAGGTCAGGCTATTCTAGACTAACCAAAGAGAAGAAGGACAGAGGTCAGGCTATTCTAGACTAACCAAAGAGAAGAAGGACAGAGGTCAGGCTATTGTAGACCAACCAAAGAGAAGGACACAGGTCAGGCTATTGTAGACAAACCAAAGAGAAGAAGGACAGAGGTCAGGCTATTCTAGACTAACCAAAGAGAAGAAGGACAGAGGTCAGGCTATTCTAGACAAACAAAAGGGAAGGACAGAGGTCAGGCTGTTGTTGACTAACCTATGAGAAAATGGACAGAGGCCTGGCTATTGTAGTCTAACCAAAGAGAAGAAGGACAGAGGTCAGACTCACCTATGAAAAATTGGACAGAGGCTATTTAAGATCGGGTTCACCAGGTTTTTCTATGGATCCATGGTTACCTTAGATGTGTTGTTTGTTTCCTTGCTGACTTTCTCATCAATACACAGCTGCTCCCTGGATCCCAGGACACAGGAGTTGACACTGTAACACACAACCACGGCACACTTTACAGGTGCTCCCTGGTCCCTAGGTGTCACTGTAACACACAACCACAGCACACTTCACAGGTGCTCCCTGGATCCCAGGACACAGGAGTTGACACTGTAACACACAACCACGGCACACTTTACAGGTGCTCCCTGGTCCCTAGGTGTCACTGTAACACACAACCACAGCACACTTCACAGGTGCTCCCTGGATCCCAGGACACAGGAGTTGACACTGTAACACACAACCACAGCACACTTTACAGGTGCTCCCTGGCCCCAAGGTGACACTGTAACACACAACCACAGCACACTTCACAGGTGCTCCCTGGACCCTAGGTGACACTGTAACACACAACCACAGTACACTTTACAGGTGCTCCCTGGCCCCTAGGTGACACTGTAACACACAACCACAGCACACTTCACAGGTGCTCCCTGGACCCTAGGTGACACTGTAACACACAACCACAGCACACTTTACAGGTGCTCCCTGGCCCCTAGGTGACACTGTAACACACAACCACAGCACACTTCACAGGTGCTCCCTGGATCCCAGGACACAGGAGTTGACACTGTAACACACAACCACAGCACACTTTACAGGTGCTCCCTGGACCCTAGGTGACACTGTAACACACAACCACAGCACACTTCACAGGTGCTCCCTGGACCCTAGGTGACACTGTAACACACAACCACAGCACACTTCACAGGTGCTCCCTGGACCATAGGTGGAACTGTAACACATAACCACAGCACACTTCACAGGTGCTCCCTGGACCCTAGGTGACACTGTAACACACAACCACAGCACACTTCACAGGTGTTCCCTGGACCCTACATGACACTGTAACACACAACCACAGCACACTTCACAGGTGCTCCCTGGACCCTAGGTGACACTGTAACACACAACCACAGCACACTTCACAGGTGCTCCCTGGACCCTAGGTGACACTGTAACACACAACCACAGCACACTTCACAGGTGCTCCCTGGACCCTAGGTGACACTGTAACACACAACCACAGCACACTTCACAGGTGTTCCCTGGACCCTACATGACACTGTAACACACAACCACAGCACACTTCACAGGTGCTCCCTGGACCCTACATGACACTGTAACACACAACCACAGCACACTTCACAGATGTTCCCTGGACCCTACATGACACTGTAACACACAACCACGGCACACTTCACAGGTGCTCCCTGGACCCTAGGTGACACTGTAACACACAACCACAGCACACTTCACAGGTGTTCCCTGGACCCTACATGACACTGTAACACACACCCACAGCACACTTCACAGGTGCTCCCTGGACCCTACATGACACTGTAACACACAACCACAGCACACTTCACAGGTGCTCCCTGGACCCTACATGACACTGTAACACACAACCACAGCACACTTCACAGGTGCTCCCTGGACCCAAGGTGACACTGTAACACACACCCACAGCACACTTCACAGGTGCTCCCTGGACCCTAGGTGACACTGTAACACACAACCACAGCACACTTCACAGGTGCTCCCTGGACCCTAGGTGACACTGTAACACACACCCACAGCACACTTCACAGGTGCTCCCTGGACCCTACATGACACTGTAACACACAACCACAGCACACTTCACAGGTGCTCCCTGGACCCTAGGTGACACTGTAACACACAACCACAGCACACTTCACAGGTGCTCCCTGGACCCTAGGTGACACTGTAACACACAACCACAGCACACTTCACAGGTGCTCCCTGGACCCTAGGTGACACTGTAACACACAACCACAGCACACTTCACAGGTGCTCCCTGGACCCTACATGACACTGTAACACATAACCACAGCACACTTCACAGGTGCTCCCTGGACCCTACATGACACTGTAACACATAACCACAGCACACTTCACAGGTGCTCCCTGGACCCTACATGACACTGTAACACATAACCACAGCACACTTCACAGGTGCTCCCTAGACCCCAGGATACCAAAGCTGACACTGCAACCCAGATAACAACAATTGACAGCCTTCCCTTGATATCACAATAGGAGAGTAAATGAGTGAACTTTGTTTGAAGTCACAGTTAGCAGGCCTGTTGGTAATCTGGTATGTGTCAAGCAAACCAGTGGTTACTGCAAGGGCAAGGACAACCCATAAACAGCCACATCACACACTGTCACCCCCATCCAACTACTGCAATGCTATGGAGACCTACGTGTTGTATGTCGTCCTCTTCAGCTCCTGAACAGCCTGAGACAGCTGAGAATGTGTCCTGGACGCATAGATGATCTTCGGAACCACTTGTATAAGGGACATTGTTTAAATAGCAATCTGTCAGTATTCAAGTCGAGTCATGGCAAAAAGTTGACACAATCAGTGAATTCTTGAATTACACTTGAATATGTTACTATCACACTAAGATGAAATTATTTTGAACACATTTACTAAATGAGCACAGGGTAATTTCTTCAATTCTATTGACACATTCATAAATACTGATCAACAGAAATAAATAAAATATCTTTTAAATCAATACATGCAGCTCAAATGTTTGTCACACTAATGTTACATGCTTTAACAAAAACAAAAGTCTTCATATTTATACACACCATACTCATTGGTACCCCATGAAGAACCAGACGATTGCTGGAGTTTGGACGAGATTTTTTTCATTAAGTCATCTTGAAGGTTTTCCTTGTCACCAAATAATGATGCCACACCCATCTGCTTGTTGAGGTCAACTTGAGCCTTACGACCTTGAAGCCATGCCAGAGAAGAACACAACAGACAGAGTGTTTTGCCTGTTCCTGTGGGACTCTCCAGAATTCCATGTTTCTCCTGGAACAATCATGTCCATCAACACATTCAACAAAAGACAGAAATATTTCCAAATATAGACTCAAACATAGGTTTAATAATTTGAGCTAATATGATGTCATCAAATGGAGAAACATACACTTCAAAGTTCAGTTCCCTCAGTCCAACAATTTCTGGGAAAATTTCTAATTATATTATGCATTTTGAGAAAATACAAGAGTATTACAGACAAATATGAATCACAAAATTAACTAAACAATACCAAATTTCATTACATTTTGCAGACATTTTGAAAATGAGACTCAAACCTCTCAAACAAATTCATGTGACAAATATCATTGGTCAAGTGGTTTCTTCGGAGATTATACTTAGTGTGAGGAAATGCATTTTGAGAGAATTTAAGAGCATGGTTGAAGTTCAAAGGTGAAATATAGGTAAAAGAATGAAATTTTGCTAACAGAGGATCACATATGTTGAGACCCACTAGTAACTACACACAGACCACATTTCATTACATTTTGCATAAGAACTGCAGAGTAATGGTCATAAATAGCTTTTTCAATATAGCTCATGGTGGCCATGTTGAAAATCTGATTCAACATAATAGCAAAAGTAGTGTTTTGTACATTTGTGCATCCATAAATCAATTGTCTCAGCATCAGCTTAAAAGTGGTGAGATGCTTACCCTCTGAAGACATTCAATGACTTTTTCCATAAAAGCCTTCTGGCATTCATATGGTTCAAAGGGAAAGTCAATTGACACCCCTCGCACACTTAACTGTGTCATTCTTGTTGTCTCAAGTCTGTAACAAAACAATAAACACACAGAGTACAAACACATCAATCCATCCATTGTGGACTCCACATCTACAATATTTACAATAATTACAACATGTCATGAAGCATGTGAACAAGATGCATTTACATTTTAAACTTCAGCAGATCATGGTACCATATTTTAGGTCCATAGTGCCCATTCTTTTTTCCAACTGTGTGAAGAGTAAGATGCACATAATACGCTATGACAATGTGCTTAGATTATTTTTCTCAACTAGCACTGGGCGTTGCCACCATTAGACAATTTCGGTGTAATGCCACAGTAGGCCTATGTAACACACTGCCTGGCCTAGGAACTTTGTTCAGCACAATTTGTTTCTTTCTTTCTTTATATGACATACTTAAAGAAAAAATGATTATCGTTGAAGCACATAAGTGTTTGGTGTAAGCACCTAGCCCTTACTTCTGGAATTAAAATATTCATGCCTGAGGAACAGATAATCTTGTTCTTCTGAGATGAGGACTTCTCTTATATTACCCATTGTAATTAAGAGAGACAATGGTGAAAACAAGATAAAATCTCAACCATGCAAAGAAAATTCAGTGAAGCCTGCATATAATTCTGATGATATGACATTGATCTGTGACATCATGAACACTGATTGATGAGAATATCATATCATATTGCTTTCACCAAGACCGGTGTGTCAATGGCTTCCACTAACCAATAACTACCTGTGAAGAAAGGGTTAGAACAGATCTTCAGCAACCAATACATGTCGTAAGAGGCGACGATGCTTGTTGTTAAGGGCTACTCACAAGATTGGGTGGTCAGGTTCACTGACTTGGTTAATGCATGTCATTGTATCCCAAATGCATGGATTGATGCTCTATCATATAGCTGGAATATTGCTGAGTGCGGTGTTAAACCATAAACACACACTGATGAATGAGCATTAAGTATCACCACACATGTGCAAAACACTTCTGCTGTCATGAGTCTTAATTTACTACATGGGTAACCAATCCTGAATTACCCGACACTACCCACTTACCTGCTGTAGGTCTCAAGAGTTATGTACAAAATATCTGATTGGGAATTGTTTAACCGGAGCCCTAGCAAAATGTATTTAGTTACATGTATAAAACGATCTGGTCATGCATACATTGAAATTGACTGAAACATATAAAAGTCAGAAGGAATGCATGCAGTCAGAAAGAAATGTCGACATTTGTGACTTGTAGTGTAACCATGGAGTTATAGAATCTACAATATTGTCATTAAACCATATATCATGAGACTAGCCACAGGTCAGGGTGGTTCTGTTGGTACCCCGGTCCTTTTCAGCACTCACTCGACCAAGTACCCATCACAGCCCTACTTTCTACCCTATGGGTGATGTTATTTTCTTTCTGTTCATGTTCTTAGGCTCCAATATCTGATATTTATTCTTATTTTGTTCCTGGATTTCATGTGAATGATTAGGGACGGTCAAAAATCATTACAGTGTGGGGTGAGTCAGAGGTTTTTGATGCACATATAGAAAATAAGGACCCTCGCCATGTCCTTGTACATTTTTTAAAGGCCATCCCCGAAAAGTCAAAATGCAAAAGCACTTTAAATTTTATTATTAAATATCCATTAATCATGACCCTCCCCAAATGTTTATATATTCTGACTTTCTATTTGAAAATGTCATATTTTTTGGTGTGACGAAATATTGTAAATACTCAATCGATGGCTTGATTTTAAGATAAAGTTGTCTTTTATAAGTGATAGAGATGTTTTACGGCTGTCCTTGTGGCTAGCGAGAAAACTGTTTCTAAACGTCAGAAAACCCGTAACACGTACAGGGGATCTTAAAACAAATTAATAGTTAATAATGCGGAGGGCATCAATAGTTGGCAGTTGCTGCACCTCATCTTTTACTGCTTGTGGCAAAACTGACAATCGACTGCTCAACTTGCAGCCTGTAAAACAATCTACGGCTTGCACAGTATCCAACCACATCTGACAGTGACACTGAACAGCGAATTATAGTGAATGACACAAGATTTCCCGCGAAAATTGGAAAATGATTATGATAATATTTGTGTCAACGTGACCAATATTTGTACATTTGGTATGCAGCTGGTATGGTATCATTAACGAGAAGTTTGGTAGAAGGGGCAATCTCACCAAAATTACTTCGGTGATTTTCATATCAGTTAAAACGATTCGGGCAACATTAATTGTGTTGCATTCAAAATGTAAACACATGTGGCGGCCATTTTTGAACATGACCTCAGGTCTAATCTTATTATATCCGGTTCAACTCAAAAGACCAATGAAATACGCGAAAAATAACCTGCGAGCCAATCAATAAACCGTTCATAATCCCAACAGCCAATCGTTTCTACCAGAAGTGACGTCACATATAAGTAGCGCGGAGTTTAGTTGAAACACTCTGTGAGGTCGTTACCGTTTTATCTTGAGGTTTGTTCGTTTTTTCTTCTCAACGGGTTGTCCTGTTTAGATACTGTTTTCTTTACGTTGATGTAGAAAGTACCTGTGAGGCACACATACTGACAATTTTGTGGTTTTGTGTATATTCAAACAACTGCAGTTCATTCGTGACCATCTGTGTTCATCTTCTCATTTACCGTTTCAAAATTCAGAAAGTATTTACTCAGGATCAAGCACAGCGATTTTGGATTAATTTTATTTATGTGCGTATAAACCTTTTCATACAGTAGAGACCTTTTGACTGTTAATCACTGGTACACTGACAGATAAACAGCTTGTCAAAACCAGCTTCTGACAATACCTATTTTATTTTGATAGGCCACTGTTTGTCACTGCTAAAATAGACAGGAAAACAATAATAATGTACCAAAAACATAAAATTTGCAAGGTTACCTTGGTTACGGATGTGTCAATAGGTAAGACTTGCGCCCGTATCTCACCTTCAAAAGTTGTATATGTATGCATTGCCGCTCAATCTTGTTAGGTATAGGGTATATATTTTTTAGGGGAGATACGGAGGGAAGTCTTCCCACCCTGTCAAAATTAGACAAAATCATGAATGGTTCCTCTTGCCACTGGAATCTTGCAAAATCACTAAATTTGTTTTGAAGCTCAGTTTTGCGCTCTGGCTGGCTGATCTAACTCTATGTTACCAGCTTGAAGCTGGGCAATGGAGTTAATTTGCATGATTAACCATTAGTAATGTTTATCTAGTGATAGCACTCAGTTATTTACATTGTTGTGTGCACACGTGCAGTTGTGACATTTTCACATAAGGTGAAATTTATTAAAAATTTAAGGATGTACCTCTGATTAGTTAAGAATTGACATGAATATTAAGAAGTCTTGTCCTGCTTGTGTCAGCGAAAACCATGCTCTAGATTTCACATAGATCAACTTCGAACATCGCTGTCATCTTGGTCTCAGATTGCACTTCATTCGCAAAAAATCAACCAGATTGAATGTTTACCATTCCCTGGTAATTGATCGTCGGTTCAGAAGAGCAGTAGGAGCTGACACTCTGTCCAGTCAGGGCTCTTTGAGTATATATAAACTCTGTAAAGGTGTTTTGTCATAATCGTAAGCTTGTTTATTCTGCTGTCGTCA